GCTTTGAGGGGGTGGGGTGGGCCGGGTTTTTTTAGGGTGAGTGGGTGAATGTATGAACGTTGCATGCAGGGTGCGCGCACATCACCATGCACACGCCAAGGGCGGACCGAAATGACACACTCACACACGCTCACTCACACACACAAACACACCGCCACACACGCACACACACACACACACACCAACACATACACACACACTGTTGGCGCCTGCCGGCACCCCGCCCCGGGGCAGCCTGTGCAGCGTGCTCCTGCTCACCATGCGCAGCGGCTTGTCGTCGCGGCCGCCGCGCCGCCGGATCTCGTCCACCCCCAGCGACTCGAAGAACGAGTGGATCGCAAACAGCAGCTGCCGCAGGTCCACCGCCTGCCGATGTGATCCAGGAGAGTTGATTGGAGGGTTGGTGTGCAACGAGGACATGAGGAAGGAGGACCAAGAAAATGGGAGAGGATCATGCTGATCTTGAATTGTTGTCTGAGGGGTAGGTGCCCCGGCGGGCGGTCGCTTTTGACTGAGGGGTAGGTGCGGCTGGGTGTGTGCGGGGCGGCAGGGGAGAGGTGACGATCCTGGTGCGGGGGTGGCCGCCAGTAGGCGGGCGTCGAGCGGAGTGCTTCCGGGGGTGCGTTGCGGCTCACGTCGATGGTTGATGGCAGGGCCTTGGTGATCTTGATGAGGCACTTGACCACCAGATCACTCCACCTTGGGGGGTGTGGTGTGTGTGTTTGTGTGTGTGTGTGATGTGTGCCGTGTGTACGTGTGTGGGGTGTTGGTGAGTGTGGGTGTGTGGTTGACCGGGTGGGTGGGTCGGTGGATGGCGATTTGCGTGGGGACGGAGGCGGGAGTGTCAATAATTGGGAAGCAGGGGACATGAAGGGTGCAAGGGGCCCCGGCCCCGCGGTCATGCCGCTGCGGCCCTCGCGGCGCAGGGCAAGCGTCAGACCGTATGATCTCCGGCTCAATCAAAGGGTGGCCAGCCCACCCCTGCGCCTGCGCAATCTCCAATGCATTCACCCTTGAAACCTGTCATGCTTGCTCGTCATGCCTGAGCGCGCACACACTCACTCGCACACACACACACACACACACACACACACACACAACCACACACGTGGATACACAGTTACAAACACCCCACTCCACACATGTGCACATGCCCACACACAACACCAACCCGCGCCGCACCTGGCCTCCAGCTCTGGCTCCCCCGCCACCCCCTGGGGCGCCTCCAGCAGCAGAGCCAGCAGCGCGGCAAAGGACGCGTTGCGGTCGCAGTTCTCCAGCAGCTTCAGCATCAGCACGTTGAGAGCCTGGACAGACATGTGTGTGTGTGTGTGTGTGTGTGTGTGTGTGTGTGTGTGTGTGTGTGCGCGCTCGCGCGCGCGCTCATGCGCACTGATGTGGGGGTTCACTCCTGAATGCATCTGGAAGTTTACCCGTTGCACGGCCTGCCCTCTGCTCTGTGTGGAGTGCGGCTGTCCAACTCCCACCGCCCCCCACAACCCCCAGCCTAACCCGCACTGCGGTGAGGGCGGCCTGCAGCCCACGCACGGGCTCAGCATGACGCCCCGAACCCCGGGCCCCGCACCCTGCGCCCCGCGGCCCACCTTGAGCAGTGCCTCCCCCTCTGGCACCTTGACCAGGTGCTCGTCCACCAGCCGCAGCAGCAGCACACGCACCAGCCTGGGTGGCGGTGGTGTGTGGGGGCGGGGTTCAGGTTGGGGGTCAACAGGGCAGACCTGGGGTGACGTGAAGAGGGAAGCGCACAGCAGCCATGCTGGCGGCCGTGCTTCAGGGCGACAGAAGCCGGGGACTGGTGCAGAAGCGGCCGCACAGTCATGCATGAGTCTGATTGGTGCTTGCGTCCCCTCTGCTTTTCGCACATGTGAGAACTTCATCCCCAAAGCATACGGCCATGCAGCCGGCGGCAGCCCCACACCCGCCTGCGATGCAATCATGCCTCTCGGAGCCCCCCAGCCGGCCGCACCTGTGCAGAGTGCCCTGCTCCACGCCCGCCGGCAGCCCGGGGCTGCTGAAGATGTTCATGAGGCAGTTGAGGGCGTACTTGCAGGCGCGGCTGTTGGGGGGCCGGCCCAGCGCGATGGCGCAGGACGCCTCGGAGAAGATCTGGGGGCGCTCGGCAGGGGCAGTTGTGGACGTGAAATGGTCAGCAAGGGGTGCATCCAGTGTATGTGTGTGTGTGTGTGTGTGTGTGTGTGTGTGTGTGTGTGTGTGTGTGTGTGTGTGTGTGTGTGTGTGTGTGCATGCGCGTCCGCCCATGGGCCATCAGGTGACACTTCGTCCCATCAGCTGAAATCGAAGCGTACGGCCCAGCCAGCAACATACACATGCGCCCTGCCTCTGCCGTCGAAGCCACGCGTGGCAGCGGGGCAGCGCAACTCCGCCGCCGCTGCGCTTCGGATGCTCAGACCGCCGTGCACAGGTGCAACCTCTGGGCCCAGAGGCCCCGAAAACCCCACATCCACGTGCAAACCACAGCCGCCCACCTGCTGTGTCTTCTCGGCCATAAGTCCCGCCAGTTCGTCCGCGCGCCGCACCAGCAGGTCGCGCACCATGGCGCCGGGCGCGTCGCCGCCGCCGCCGCTGTCCTGGCCGCCAGAGTCTGCGGGGCGCAGCAGCGGGCGCAGAGCGCGTCAGAGCGTGACTGACCGCGCCGCGACGCCGCACGGCGGCCGTGTTGCATTATGCCGTGGCCGGCGGGACAAGCCGTACCCATTGCGGGTGATTTTGTTGGGTGTTGTGCTGGCCTGGAATCATGGTGGTTGGGCGTGCCCTGCACCCTTTCCAATGAGTCATCACCTGATCCCTTGAGCATGTCCATCATCTCAAAGCACAGCAGCTTCATTACGTCGATGCAGGCGTCGATCTGGGGATCAGAGAGTGGAGGTGTCGGTGTTGGTGTTGTCAGTGGTTGTGGTGGAGGTGGTTTGTGTGTGTGTGAGTGTGTGTGTGTGTGTGTGTGTGTGTGCGCGCGCGCGTGCAATTGTGGTATATCCGAGCCGAATAGCAGGCGTGCTGAGAAGATGCAACCTTGTTCCCTGTCCACCCAGCGGGCTCTGACAAATCACACCGCACACACTCCCCCGAAACAACCAAACAAAGGGGGCCGCGGGCCACGGGCTCACGTCTCCGCCCCGCAGCAGCCCCATGGCCCTGTTGAACTCGACCTCCATCTCCTGGGGAGACGCCAGGCTGGACAGGGCCTGGAGCTGCGGGTCAGGGGCCGGCGGTTGGGGGCGGATGAGGGGCGGTTTGGGGCAGTTGGGGGTCGGTTTGGGTCAGTCGTGGGTCGGTTGGGGGCCGGTTG